ACCGCACATAAGAGCCACGCATACCTCAAGGCTGAATTTGAAATACTTAAGTTGTACTTAGACAGGGAACTTCCTCCTACAACTTCAACTTTGTAGCTTTTCTGATTCCCGAGTTGAAATTTTTCCGCAGAAACTTCCTTACGCCCTTACATGAGCACCACACATAGCTTGGGGCTGAATTTGAAACGTTTGTGTTGTACTTGAACAGGGAACATTCCCTCAAAATTTCAGCCTTCCAGCTTTTCTGGTTACCGAGTTAGCAGTTTTCCCGCCAAAACTCTCACACACCCGTAATTGGGTACTCCATTTGCTTGGAAAGCTGAATTTGAAATTTCTAAGTTGCACTATGGACAGGGAACATCGGCCTAAAATTTCATTCTTCCAGCTCTTCTGGTTGCCGAGTTAGTAATTTTCCTGCAGAAACTTTCAAATGTCCTTACATGAGTACCATGCATAGCTTGGGGCTGAATTTGAAATATTTGAGTTGCAGTTGGACAGGGAACATTCCTCCAAAATTTCAGCTTTCTAGCTTTCCTGGTACCCAAGTTAGCAATTTTCCCCCTAAAACTTTCAAACGCCCTTGCGTGAGTACCACGTATACCTGGAAGCTGATTTTGAAATCATTAGCTAGTACATGCATAGGGAATAATCCTACAAAGTTTCAGCCCCTTAGCTCGTGTGGTTTCCCAGATCGCTTTGCCGCCAAAAAATTTGCATATTTTTTTAAAACGTCCCTACTCGGCACCCAGGCGTCCAAGGAGGATGAAATTAGAACGGGAGGGTCGCGCATGGTAGGGGCACATATCCCCAAAGTTTCAGCGTTCTAGCTTTTCTGGGTCTCGAGTTGAAAATGGGTGACAAAAAGTGCGAACACACAGACACACACATACACGCACACACACACACATACACACACAGACAGCCTCTTCCCAATAAGCGTTTTTGCAATTTACATATACGCAAAAACACATAAAAACGCATAAAAAACGGGAAAATTGAATTTCGAGCGTCTGCGTTTAACGCATCACAATCGGTCAAAAGTCATACAGCTTAAGTGTGGCCTTGATATGAAAAGCAAAGGATGAAAACAAACTTGGACATTACGCCCCATTCGTCTGTCCTACATGGTGGAATCAGCAGACTTGCTTTCCGTTGAGCATTCAACCACTGAAAATTATCACCTGACGTTTCTTTAGATGGGGATGAGTCACCACAGGATTTTTTTTAAAAAGGCATCACGCTTTAAGACACTTCAGTTGACTGGATATTTTAGTAATTTCATGAATAAAGCACGTTGATAAGTATAGTAAGGACACTACGAAAGTATGGACAATCGATGTGGGTATTTCACGGCAGTGATATTACTAAAATGCTGCTAAACGCCGAAGACGACTATTCCACGCTTCTCATCCATGTGTTACATATTTCCAGAAGGTACCCATCACATGCTCAGTATGAGTGTCGGCAAGTGAGCAATATGCCTTGCCGCTTGAACTATCGAAAATTTTATATTAATCAACGAATAGGAGAAAGAGGAAGTTTATACTCTCTTTGCGTTTTCGAGCAGCTACTTTAGAGCAAAAATGTGGTTCATCATGCCCCGATAATTTCAGGAACCAGTTTGGTCCTTCGGCTGTTGCTCATCGGTGTCTTGTTAGTGGGCTAGTGACATTCTCGTCTTCAAAGACTGTAAAAATGAGATACTAGGCAGATACGGTGGTGCCTCTTTAGATCCTTTCTCTTGTTTCTTTTGTGCAGCAAGGCAGTTTTTGACTGTCTCCGACTACTTGGTATTTTTCTTTCAGCCAAAAACCAACTAACCGACTGGCAGGAACTATCCAAATTTCCTGCTCTTTTTTTGGATTTGATGAGTTTGTTGTTAATGCCATCTGTCGTGATAGTCGTGAAAAGGGTAAAAGTAGGTGAAGAAGAGAAAGGCCTCTCACTCTCTTTAATAGCATTTCTGTAGCTGCAGAGATCCTCAAATCCGATTGTTTATCAAGCGTGCTCGGGTCCTTTTAGGTAATTACCAATTTTAAAGCATTTTACTCCAGTGAATATTCGCCATCATCATCTTGTCGGTATATTTTACCTCAGTTCCTCATCGATTTTTCGGAGCTTGCTACACTGACTTGCCAATTACA